TTCCTAGCTTCTGAGGTTGGCCTGGCCCAGGCCTGGCTTTTGTGAGAATTGGAGAATCTCTCTCTTTCTGCCTTTCAAATAAATTTCAAAAGAAAGAAGAATGTTAACATTTGAAATCATGCAGGATAATACTACGCTTTGCTGAGATACACCTATGGTTATGTCCGGGTACAGAAAGCACATGAGAAAGATGAACCCACATTGTGGATCAAGCATGCAGGAGAGTAGGAAGTGCAACACCACGACCTTCAGCTCTGTTCCTAATTTCTTAAGCTTCAGGATTGATACTTCAGCATCTATTCTTTTTAAATCTTAATACTTTAGAATAAAATTAGTACTGCTGGACAAGATTCATCTTCCAATACAAGAACTGACTTGCGTTTCTCCCCTCATTTGTCCCGGTGGCTTCTTATTGGTTCCAGGACAAAAACTAAACTCTTCCCAGAGTGGCCGCCCTGGCCCTTCATGACCTGCCACCTGTACTTTCCTGGCTCTCTCCTGCCACCTTCACTGTCCTGCAATGGTTTATATATGGGTTAAGGGCATCATCGCCCAAAGCTCATATGTTGGAGGCTTCTTTGTGGCAGTGGTATTGAGAGATGGAGGAACCCTTAGGAGATAGGGACCAAAGAGGCTCCTTGGGTCACCAGTTTCTGGAGTGATTTCTCTCCAAAACAAGTCATTGTCAGAGGCTGAGCTGGGGTTCGGGAGTGGAGGTTCAGGGGTAGGGGAAAATGGCATAGTGAGTTGGGATCCCTGCATCCCATACTGGAGTGTGGGTTTCAGTCTTTGGCTACTTCACTTCTGAGTGGAACTTTCTGCTGATGTGCACCCTGGGAGTCAGTAGACAATGGCCCAAGTACTTGGATCCTGTCAACCCATGTGAGGGACCAGGATGGAGTTCCAGGTTCTGGCTGCAGCTTGGTCCAGCCCTGGTTATTGCATGAGAGACTTCTATCTATCTATCTATCTATCTATCTATCTATCTATCTATCTATCTATCTATCTATCTATCTATCTATCTAATCTTTTATCAATCTCTATCTCTCCCTCTGGCTTTCAGAAACAAAGGAATCTTTATATATATATATTCCCATTTGTTTGGCTTTGCTTTTGTTGCCTGGGTTTTGGTAGTCTTGTCTAAGAAGTCATCCATCATACTAATGTCTTAGAATGTTCCCTTTATATTTACTTCCAGGACTTCAGTCTCTGGTCTTACATTTAGCTCTTGGATCCATCTTCCGTTGAAATGTGCTATGTAATGAGAGGCATAGATTTAACTTCATTCTTCTACATAGATACATCCATTTTTGCCAGCACCATCTGTTGGAGAGATTATCCTTACTCCATTATATGATCTGAGTACTTTTGTCAAAAATTAGTTGTATTATGGAGATTAATTTCTGTGCTCTCCATTCTGTTCCATTGATCTATGTAATGGTTTTTATGCCAGTGCCAGGCTGGTTTAATAGCTATAGCTTTGAGGAATGCTCTGAAGTCAGGTATTGTGATTCCTCCAGCTTATTATTATTTTTTTTTGTTGTTCAGGGTCTTTTGTGATTCCATATGTATTTTAGGTCTGCTTTTTCTACTTCTGTTCACTGGGGTTTTGACAGTGATTGCCCTCAATCTGTAGATTATTTTAAGTAGTTTAGACATTTCAGTGACATTGGTTCTTCCAAACCATGAGCAAAGAATAATATCTTTCTGTTGTTTTGTATCCTTGATGCTTTCCTTCATCAATGTTTGAATGTTTTCATTGTAGAGATCTTTCTCTTCTTTTATTAAATTTGTTCCAACATATTTGATTTTTTTTGGTGTGACTAATGTGACTGGAATTTCTTTTTGGTTTCTCAGAAAGAGAAAGACTTGAGTTCAACATTTAACACACAAGAAAGCTATCTGTAGCTTTACTGAATCGGTTTATCAATTCAGGCTGCTTTCTGGTGGAGTGTTCCTTATCTGTGATCATGGACGCTTTGACTGCCTCTCTTTGAATTTTAATGCTTTCTTTTTTTCCCCTCCCGTAACTGATCTTGCTAAAACTTCCAGTACTATTTCAAAATCAGAAGCTTTTGCACAGCAAAGGAAATGATCAAAAGAGACATCCAAGAGAATGGAAAAAACATATTTGCAAACCGCTTTTCTGATGAAAGAATACATAAGCAACTTTAAAAACTCAACACCAAAAACAATTTAGTGGGGCAACGGGCGATAGACTTCAATAGACAATTCTCAAAAGAAGAAACACAAATGGCCAACAAAGTGCTCAGCATCACTAACCATCAGGGCAATGCAAATCAGAATTACAATGAGCTCTCACCTTGCCATGGTCAGAAATCCAAAACAGAGAGAGTGACACAGGCTGTAAGGATGTGGAGAAAAAGGCACACTTATACAGAGCTGGGGAGAGTGGAAATCAGTGTCCCCACTGTGCAAAAGTTTTCTTTAAAAAACTAGAAATAGACTTACTGTATGACCCAGCAATCTCGCTACTGGGTGTACACCCAAAGACTGAACATATATCGTATCAAAGAGATACCTGCATCATTGTGTTTCCAGCAGCACAGTTCCCAAAAGCCAGAATTTGGAATCAACCAAGGCATTCAGCACCAGATGAATGGATAAGAAAATGTGGTGCCCACATTTTTTTTTTTTTTAAATTTTAGCTCTCATATATAAAGAATATGTGCTATTTGCCTTTCTGGGTCTAGCTTATTTCACTCAGCATGATGTCCTCCAGTTGAGTGCTCAATGATATTCCACGTGTATAGGCACCACATTTTCTTAGCTGCTGGCTCAGCGGCTAAATCCCTGGCTCATACATGCCGGGGATTCCATATGGGCACAGGTTTGTGTCCCAGATGCTCCACTTCCCATCCAGTCCCCTGCTTGTGACCTGGGAAACCAGTAGAGGACAGCCCAAAGCCTTGGGACCCTGAACCTGCATGGGAGACCCAGAAGAAGCTCCTGGCTTTAGATTGGCTCAGCTCCAACCATTGCAGCCACTTGGGGAGTGAGCCAGCAGGTGAAAGATCTTTGTCTATCCTTCTCTCTGTAAGTCTGTCATTCCAATAAAAAAAATAAGTTTTTTTTTAAAAGTGTGCATCAGTGTTGCTGTAAATGTAATTTTATAAAACCTTGCGTTATACCTTTGCCAAAGCTATGATTAATAATGCCCTACTACTAGAGATTTGGTCTATGATTACTTTAAAATGTACTGCTTGTGGGTGAAAATAGTCATTTTTCCATTCAATTACTGCTTATAGACATTTCTGTGTTCCCATTAAACTAAAGTATTTTTGCTTTTCACTTGTAAAACTGCTTATTGGGGGAAGTAATAAGCCTTGTACTGTAGTGTAAATTCAAAATATGTTATCTCAAAACCTAAAAAATAAAAAGAGAGAGAGAAAGAAGGAGAGCGGGAAAGAGGGAGGAAGAGAATATTACATTCTCAGAATTGCAGCTGCAAATAACACTGACTAATAAAAACCATTCATAAAAAATAATAAACAAATGCAAGATCCTGAGCTAGACCCTGACTCTCCGGCTTCCTGTTGGAGACTTGACTGTGCTCCAGCCACGTCATTCCAGTCATACCAGCAGGTGAACACAGCCTCCCTACTGTCCCCTGCACACTCCAAGCGTGCTCCCACCTCCAGCCCCTGCCCGCACCCCTGTCATTACCTCCTCCCCTGCACACCTTCTCCCTGCCTTCCCGTCTCTTCTCAGAGGTCACCCCTGCAGTGGGCTCTTCCTCATCCATCACCCTCTCTGTCCCTGTTCCTTTGAGCTCTGGAAGCCCCTGTACCTGCCCGGCTTCATTTTCATCCCTGGCACTTGTGGCCCTCTGCTAGATGACACACTAATGATTCTGTTTGTTAACTGCCTCTTTCACAGAAATAGCACTTTCATGGGAGAAGGGGTTTGGTTCTGCTCGGTTTATCTGTCGGGCACTCCGACCTCAGGCCTGTGGATGCCACCGCGTTGCTGGGGGCCTAACTTCCTATTTATCCCAAGCTCCAGCAAGGTTAGGTTTTGGCTTGGAGCCACTCTAGGGTTACAATGAGGCTTTGGGAAACAAACAAACAAAGCCAAACAACAACAAACAGAAACACCCAGGTGAGAGTCAGACTGCCCACAGCAAGGCTGGCAGATGCTACAAGTCCCAGTCCTGCCCTGCAAAGGGCACCACCACTGGCATCCTAACCTGCCGCAAAACCTGTCTATTCCAGGAATGCCACAACCCTTTAACAGGTAACAGGACTGAAGCTTCCAGAACCCACAGGAGCTGCCCAATTGGGTTCAGGCCTGGAGTAGTCAATATCCAAAGTGGAGCTCCAACAAGACTCTCCCCATATTTCTTTAAAGAGACTGAGAGCTGAGAGGCACAGGTGGGAAACAGACTCCACGAACCTCAGCTAATTCCAGAAGTTTCTCTATAGTTTTCAGTTGTACCCTAGCCACTCGTGTTTGAATGTCGGGACAGGACCCTGGCCGGCAGCCACGTTGTCCTGAGAGTGTCTCCCCCTTCCCAAAGACGGACCGGCCTTGAGGAGAGCAAGGGGAAACTTCCCAAACCCAACGCCGGCTGAGCAGTTGTTTTCAGCTGAAAAACAGAAAGAAATCCCAACCTCGACACCAGCTTTGGTTTAAACATCAAGTCGGGGGGCAGTGGAAACTCTTTCGCTCAGGCCTCCGCGCTCTGCCATGTTGACAGAGAGCAAGCGCTAATTCTGGCCAGGGGGTTTTTCCCTGCCTCGGCTGTTTTTCTCTTTTATCTTCAATTGCAGAGCACCACCGCTATGCCTCTCAACTGTCGCAAGGTACCTGGGGTTTGGGTGTGAGTGTGTGTGTGTGTGTGTGTGTGTTCACATAACTCTGCGGGTCTTTTCCCAGAGATGTATTTTTTTTTTCTCAAGTTCACTTCTAACTTGAAGTTTCCGCCCATGTGACTTCCAGCGTCAATTACCAGAAACCACAAGAGAGAGAGAGCGCGCCGGCCCCAAAGCAAGCGACATGTCCCACTGGGGAGCAGTCCTCGCGCACCCCCAGAGCAGGACGCACGCAGGGGTCGGTGGTGGCTTCAGGGCTCGGGCCAGCACCCGTGGCGGGCGGGACGCCTGCGGAGGCCAGCTGCTGGTAACCAGAGAGTCCAGAGGCGCGTGGGGCCGTGTGTGAGAGCCGGAAGCCTGCAGCCATGCCTCACAGCTCCGACAGCAGCGACTCCAGTTTCAGCCGTTCTCCTCCCCCTGGCAAGCAGGTAGAGTCCTCCTCTTCTTCTCTTCCCTTCTGCCTCGCCCGGGTGGGGAGCAGATCCCTGGTTCTGCGCAGGGAGCGAGGGAAGTGAATCGTGCCTTGAACATTCTGTGTAAGTTCAGACTTGACCTTTGCAATTACACTGTGTGGTGGTGATGGTGGCGGGGGAGGGGGAGTAATGACCCTCATCTTCCACGTGTGCTACCTAAACCCCTGACCTTTTTCCCTGCCCCCCACCACCGGGAGTGCCCACTGTCTCTACCTCATGGGGGCTTCTAAGAAACCAAGAGGAGCAGGGTCTTCAAAAGACTCTCTAATTTTTAGGATGGGGGCTTCCAATGGGGCTGCTGGCATGCACAGTTCCAACCCTCTGTATTTCCCAGGAGAGTGGCCACCGGGTGAGAAAGGGGACCTAGGGGCAAGTCAACACCCAAGAAATCAGGTTGGAGAGTTAGAAGGATGAGAGGGCCCCCAGCTAGCCCGGGAAGGTCTGTTGGGGCGTTTCCTCTGTGGCTGGCACCTCCACGGGGGAAGGATGCTAGAACCACCACCAAACCCTGGGGCCCCGGTGACCACAGGACAGAGGAAGTTACCAAAAGAAGTGGTAGCTCTGGGAGACACTCGCCCCCTCAGCTCTGGCCGACACGAGGTAGGAAGCCCGGGAGCCCTCAGCATCCAGTTTGTGGCTCCACCTTCTCCCCGCTGCCCATCTCGCGCTTTCTGGGGCTTTCTCCTTTGCACTCTTAGGCATCATTCGTCAGAGCAGTTCTCCCTCTTTCTCACCCCATGCGTATGGGTGGACTAAAATTTCCTCCACCTCCGCGGGGTAAAAACTGCCCGCCAAGCACGGCTACCCAGGCGGGCTTTCAAAAAACTGCCTCTTCTTTTTAAAAAAAGAAATGAGCATCAGATGCTGCATCCCAAGACCAGGTGGAGCGAAGTTCTCATACAGCCCTCTAGAGGGCGAACTCTCCACCCCTCGGCTCGAGATGCTATCAATGTGGCTCAGACTGCCTGGAAGCCGGTCCCCCTCCTTCGGGAGGAAATTACTCACGGCTTCCATGGTAACCAGGGTCCCCATCCCCCTTAGAGAAAGAGCGCTTCCTTCCTATCTAGCCCAGTGCCCTACTCCTTGCAATGCCCGCGAGTACTGGACATACTGGGCGTCATCGGTTGAGTGGGCACAGAGCCTTGTGCGAGGTGTCTGTGCCTTTGCAACTTCAGGCAGAGGAGGCCAGCTGTGCTCTCTGCCCTAGTCAGGATGTGCCTATCAATGCTATGTCAAGGTTTCCCTGCCCTCCCCTGTCCCCGTCCAGTGCTCACCAGAGCCAAGAAGCCGGGGCCATTTAATGTTCTTGGCATCTCTGGAAAGCACTGATGTGCAGGCTGGAGTAGCCCAGGTCACCAGCCAGCCAGAAGGAGCTGGGTCGTGAAGTGAGAGGGTGAGGCTGCTGAGCAGAGGTGATGAAACTCACTTCATTGCCTTGGCTGCCTTTACCGATGGTTCCAGAGAGGTCTCGGGTGATGTGGCCTGCTGTCCGGAGCTTCCGACCTAACCCAGTGCCCCTCGGCTGGCTGTGGTCGGGAGGGAGCTCTCCTCCACCTCCGGAACACAGATGTGGCAGAGTTGGGACTGTCCGGAGATGGATTAGCATGAGGAGGAGGAGACCAGCCGGTTAGGGCAGGAGAGGAGCAGATTCATCTAATTCTCACTGTCTGCCTCCTAGGATAGCTCCGACGACGTGAGAAAAGTCCAGCGCAGGGAGAAAAACCGAATCGCTGCCCAGAAGAGCCGGCAGAGACAGACGCAGAAAGCTGACACCCTGCACTTGGTGAGCCCGCTTGCCCTTCGCCCCGCACACACAGGCTCTCCGCCGGGAGGACCACTGCGTTGATTCTGTCCCTGTGAACAGGGGAAGGGCCCGGGAATAAGTAAAAAGGAGTCTGTGAGGCCGGGGCAGGGATCTCCTAGGAGGGTAGGGAGAAGATTCTGTAGCAGAGAATGGACTGATGCAAGGAAAGAACACTTTTTACCCTTCCCACCAAGGGCTCAGAGGGCTGGTGTAGGGAGTGCCGAAATTCTATGTGGAAGCAGAGTCTCCTGTTGGGGCAGGGGGTCGAGCAAGGGAGCACCTTCCTTCACCAACCACGGAGAGCAGGAGACATGTGACATCCAAATGTCCCTCCACGGGGTGCTGCTCCTAGCCCTTCCTGGGCCTCATCCAAGTTTTATTTGGAAATTTCTATCTTTAGTGACATCCCCAAGGGTCTAGGATAGATGCACCTTCAAAGGCAGTTATCCGGGCTGGTCACCATCCTGGCTGAGCTGCTTCTGCTCCCAGACTTTCCCAGATGAGGCCTTGACCCCTGGCTTGAACCAGCTCAGGATTTTGGACTGAATGGTGATAACACTGGTGGCTCGGGGCCCTGGTGGTGTACTTCAGCAAGCGTTGCTTTCTCTACCCTCCCGTGCTCCCCCAGCCGCCTGGCTTCCCCCAGCCCTGAATTTGGTTCTCCTTCAGCTAGCTGTTAGATCACTGTGGGTCCTCTCCCATTCCCTCAGCTCTTCCTCTTAAAATTCTCGAACAGTCCATTCTCTCGAAGCACTCTTTTGTCTCTAGTGCCAAGGCAATTGCTTTCAAGAAGTACAACTGGCCTCAAAAGAGAACAGGCTTGGGTTTCATAGAACGGTGAGCACAGCCAGCAGCAGCAGGTGGAATAGCTGATGTGACCTTATCAAACATTTGTGGTAAATAGAACTAGAAGACATGTTTACTTGGGTGCAAAAAAAAAAAAATTACCTGCTGATATTCATGCTTAGTTCTTTCGTCATGCACATTTTTCCGTGAACTTGTTGAGGATGCCTCGGAAGGGGCAGGTGTAGGAGGAAGAGCATGCTTCCTTAGCTTTGTGAGGACGCTCGCTGGGAGCGGTCTGCACCAACCTCCGACAGGTGCATGTGTTTCACTCGGAAACTGCTCAGTGTTTCCTCTAACGCACGCTCTCAGACGTTTATCTTCACAAGTTGTCACTGAAATGAAAAACAGGACGAGCGATCAGCAGGTCTGTAGTGGCTGCGATCAGCAGCTTAGGCGTGAAGCCGTTGGTGCACACATGCTCTGTCCGCTCGCCGGCCAAGGTCCCGCACGCATGGCTTCACTATTTCTAAGCTTGAACGTCTCTGATCTCCAACATCAGAGTTTGAGTCAATATTTCTGAAAGAATGCAAGTGAATAAAAACAAGAAAGGATACTCTTCTCCTTTTCAAAAGAGTAGCCAGCGTCCTGAGCCTAACAAGCTGTCAGAAGCTTTGGGGCTTTATGATTTTCATTGTAAGTGAAAGTTAGGTACAGGCTGGCAGCTCTGGTGGGGGAGGTCAGGGTTGGATTCACAGCATTGCCACTGGCTGGCTGTGCAGCTGGCCTGGGATTCTTACCCTCCCTCAACCCCTGCTTCCTCTGTACACAACAGAGAACGGGGAGTTTGCTTATAAAGAGGTCCACACAATGCTTGGCATGCAATAAACACACTCACAGAGAAAGCTCTAGTATAGAGCAGTCTGGGCACCTGTAATCCAAAAGTTGCAAAATTCTGAAGCACTTCTAAATCCAAAATGTTTGGAGTGCTGACATGACATCTCAAGTGGCAAATTCCACACTTGATGCCATGCGCTAGGTCATGGTCAAAACGCAGGTGTACTAGAACTCTTCTGTAGAATTGTCATTCAGGATATGTGCACAAGGCACACAGGGAATGGATTTTCTGTTTAGGCTTTGATCTCATTAATAAAGTGCCTTATTATAAAAAGATCTAAATCCCCCATCTGCATTCTGAAACACTTCTGATCCTAAGCATCTCATCTAAAAAGCGATCCTTAATTTGTAATAACGATCATTGTAAGAAGCAAGATACGTAATCTCTATGAAGACAATATGCATACATACACACATGCATTTTATCGTGGAGGCTTGGAGTTGAAAGATTTCTTAAAGGCTAGGACTTTGGAAACACTACAACATTTGCAGCAAATAGTCCCCAGTAAGTGCACCCTGGGAAAAAGCAGGTGATGGTTCAGGTACTTGGGCCCTGCCACCCACATGGACCGAGTCCCTGTTTTCAGTTCAGTCCAGCTCTGGCTATTGCTAGCACTGGGGAGTAAATGAGCAGAGAGAAGATCTCTTTCTCTTCTTCTGTTTCTCTCTCTGTTACTGTCTTTCAAGTAGATAAAAACAATAGCACTTAAAGATACATATAAAACTCGGACAATGTCGCGCCCACGTGTCTTACCGCCCAGCAGTAAGAGGCAGACGCGAGTGAAGCCTTCTGCGGTAAAATTTATTGCGCGCACAAAGATGAGGAAGAGGGAAAAGGGGGGCGACCCCGGCAGGCTTTCTGCTCTTATGTGCTGACCGGCCCCGCCTCCGCCGATGATAGGTCGGCGTCATGATCACGCAGGGTCCTGGGCGACCGGATTCGTCAGTCCCCAGTGTTCACGTGCCGGCCACGCCGCAGCTCACTGCGCATGCGCTAGGCGCCTGCGCAGTACAGCGAAGGCTACGTGACTCTCCACCACGCACGAAGGTGTGGCTTCTCCGGCCGGCGCCATTTTAGGCACAGCATGTGGCCAGTGCATACAGATGCGGCTTGCAACATCTCTCCCTTTCTTATACAATAGAAAAAATAAGCTGGTATGGGCCTGTCTTAGGTTGTAGACTCAAGGCGCACGATCCGTCATAGGGAGGCTGCGTAGCTTGACGTAGTCCCTGTCTTAGACCGATAATTGTCTGGGTCTATCTTACCCGTCATGGGCTACAACCGCGGTGGTTGTAAAGAGCAATGTCTCGACAAGGCAGTTATAAGAGTGACTACCCTCTCGCGTGCAATGGATAAGTCCTGCGAGGTGCAAGGGCTAGTCAGGTGCATCATGCTCGAACTCAGTGCAATGCCATAATGGCCTGAGGTGCAGGAGCCATGATGTCCATGCTCTTAACTAAGCCTGTTGAAGCATGCTCAACCATACCATGGGGGAGTCACCATTCTGCATGGCTAGTAGGGCTTGATGTATTGCCACACGATCTCGCTGAGCGCGGTGTCTCAGACGACACAGGCAAAAAAGGCATAAGGCACAGCCTGCACACAAGAGCAGAATCAGCACAACCACTCCCACCCATTCCTTAATATGGGAAGTGATGTTCCAAATCCAAGTGGCCAGGGTTTCAGCAACAACAGGATCCACCCGTGTAAAATTAATCTGGACAATGGCAATTCTCAACTCCGACTGTAAAGTATCAAATTCTCTCGTCCAATTTCCTAAAAGATAAGAAGAAAGCTGGCAAGAAAGATTAGCAGCCGTTGAAACATTCTGAAAAGGAATGGAAGTAACACATAAACCTTGACACTAAAATTCTCAGGAAATGCTTGAAAACAAAGCGTGTCCTGTAGGGGGAATAAAAAATTACTCACATTCTCCTTAATATCATCATAAGGGAGAAAAGGCAAATCCAAAGAAGAAAAAATCAAGGAAACACTCGGGCTGAGTGGGCGACCGGTAAGGGTCGTGGAAAAACACTCAAAACTCCTCATCGTGGCTCAGCAATCACGGTCCTCACCAGCGCCATACAGACCATTAGTTGCACCATCAGCCGTGTTTGCACTGGGCGGGGCACCATTGTCCTGTGGGATTGTAGGAGGAGTTTCTGATTGCGGGGTTGCATGAATCTTCCCCAAGTCAGATCCTCGCGCAAGCGCTCCAGCGGTTGCAGAAACGTCAGAAGGCGGTGATGGACAGGAACGAGTCAATCGAGCTGGAACCCAAACCGGAACTGGGGCGTCCTGTGGAAACACACAAATGGCTCCTCGAGCCTGCCTAATAACTGGGTCTGGGCCCTTCCATTTGGACTCCAGAACATCCTTCCACTTGACCCAAGATTGCTCTTGCGCCGTGTTAAGGGAATGACGATCTGCAGCACTAAGGCCTTGCTCATCCAGCTGTAAAAAATTGATGGTGAAAAGAGCCAGGGCTAGAGTGGCCCGAGGGCTCTGACTGGCGAGACCAAGTGATTCCCAGGTGGTTTTTTGTTTTTGTAACAATTCCTTAATAGAGCAATGAGCACGTTCGATTATCCCCTGACCTTGTGGATTATAAGGAATGCCAGTCACTAATTTAACACTCATTTTCTGCATTACACGTGCCACAAAATCAGCAAAGGGCTCATCCGGCTCCTGTTTAACCTGTGTGATGCCCAATTTCTCTTGCCCTTTAAGTGAAAGGGCCTTCCAAGCCTTTATAGCTGCAGTAGAGATCTGGGTATACACTGGCCATGGATATCTATTTTGATCATCAGAGTATTGGCCTTGTCCGGAAAGCATATTATAAGTCCAGGTCAAAGCATCACCGCCGCGCTGTTGATTTGCCCGGGCGGTCTCAGCCAAAAGCTCTTGCCATAGGCCCTTCCAATTTAGATATGATCCCATATTAGGGAGAACAGCCTTCACCACAAATTGCCAATCAGAGGGAGTCATATTCATTCCCCCCATACGTTCTAACAGGGACAAAGTGTAATTGGCATGAAGACCATATTGCTTTACAGACATGGCCAATTCTCGCACTAATGCTGCATCTACCTGTCTGTAAACTCTTTCCCTTTCTTCTTCTAAGACGGGGAACATATTTTGAAGTTCCCGGCGTGTGGCTGGATCGATGAAGGAGGAGCCGGCACCACAACTCATGGGCGGGGCAGATGGCTTCACAGCAGGAGGAGCCATTAGTGTAATGGCTCCAGAGCCCTGAGGCCATGGGCCGAGCGTGGCCGGCGCAGTAGCACCGCCATTC